AATAACAAGATAGTTGTGAGCTACCATGTAGGTGTTGGGAAGCGAATCTGGAGCATCTTTTTCTAAAGGTAAGATGGGGTGGCCAATGGCCCATCTTTCTCCAAGAAGCACATACTACCTATTATCCACTTATGTGCCCCACTCCCTTGTACACACTGTTTTGTTCTTGTTTTGAAATAGGATGTCTCTATGTAGTCCTTGCTGACCTGTAAACTATTTGATAGACTATGTTGGCCTCAAAGTTTTGACAGTTTTTATGACTCTGTTTCTTCCCAAATGATGGGATGAGAGGTGGCAGGCCAGGCCCTTCTTTTGGATTTTTTTTTGTTGTAATGAGTTTCATTCTGCATTTTTCATACATGTCATTGGGTTTTTGCTCACATTCCTCCTCCTCTCTCTATGCCTTCCTCTCCCTTAGGGCTCTGCTTTTGCTGGCCAGCCCTGTTATAATGCCTCATGTATTTAAATTCTCCCTCCCTCCCACCCTGCTTTGTTTCTGCTCCTAAAGATGGTCTCATGTAGCCCAGGCTGTACACAGAACCTGCTAAGTACCCAAGGCTAGTCTTGAACTCCCCGTGCTTCCTTCTACCAAGAGCTCAGATTCTCAGAGGCCTGCCAAAACTGCCTTGTATCGCCCTCAGCTCTCCCCTCCCTTTTTCACTGCTAGAGGCTTATGAACTATGTTGTTTATGTAGTATGCCTTAACTTCACTTCTGTCGCTGTGATAAGCTACCCTGACAAAAAGCAACTTAGGCAAGAAAGGGTTGATTTAACTTACAATTCCAGGGTCACAGTCCCTCATCTTAAAGAAGTCAAAGTATGAATTGAAGGCAGCTAGCTGGTCCACAGCGACGGTCAGGAGACCGAGAAATAAATGTGTGCATGCCACCAGGCACTCAGCTCCTTTCCACAATACACAGTGTGGGATCTCAACCTGGGGAAAGCTGCTGCCCACAACAGCAAGCCATTGAGACATTCTTTCTAGGAGACCCCAGCTGTGTCAAGTTTACAATGAAAACTACCCATCACATTGTACTTTAAGAGGTCTTAGAAGGAAAAAGTCAGATCTTTGAGAAACAGATTTCCACCGGGCAGTGGTGGCGCATGCCTTTAATCCCAGCACCTGGGAGGCAGAGGCAGGTGGATTTCTGAGTTCGAGGCCAGCCTGGTCTACAGAGTGAGTTCCAGGACAGCCAGGACTACACAGAGAAACCCTGTCTCGAAAAACCAAAAAAAAAAAAAAAAAAAAGAAAGAAAAACAGATCTCCAGTGTTTCATCTCTCATCTCTTTTTGGAAAAAATGATTGTTCCTACCAGGCAGCAATGAGTAGAGAGGAACAGTGTCTGCCTCTGGATAGGTAGACCAAGACTCCACCGTCCACCAGGTTCATTAAGCCTTCTTTAAAAGAGAAAAAAAGTATTTTATGTGTATGTTTTATGCATGTATATGTATATATATATATTATATACATACATACATACATACATACATACATACATACATGTGCCCTCCCCCCAGCCTTGAGCAGGCCTGGAAGACCTTGTTTACCACAATAGACCAAATAATACGACCCAGGTGGAGTTACCCACCTTGGCTGCATGTACAACCTGCTACAGGAACTTAGAAGAATAAACTGCCCACTGAGCTTGCCTTGAGACATCTCCGGCTGTGACTAAGGATGGGTTCCCCCACCCATCTCCAGCTGAAACAAGAAGGGGTTCAGTGGGGCTTTCCTTTTAAATTAAGAGCTGAACATTAAACTTCGAGCCTTGATCAGAGAACTTTGTCTTGGCTTCATCTTTCTCTCGACCTTTGTCCCAGCCCCCTTTCAGGAGAACTTGGTTGGTCTGTGGCCACAGTTGGCTACACACACACACACACACACACACACACACAATCTGTGCCTGGTATCCACAGAGGCCATAAGGAGGCATGAAACAATTGTGAGCTACTACCATGTGGGTGTAGGAATTGAACTGAACCCAGGTCCTCTGGAAGAGCAGCAATGCTCTCAGCCACTGAGCCCTCTCTCCAGCCCCTCATCAAAGCTCTTGTACTCATTAGTGTATCATTAATATGCCACCGGGGCCCAATGCTGCCAGTTCCTTTGAGATGTCACTAGGTTCTCTTGCTCTCACAATGATAAAACTGAAAAAAAGGAGGGCTTTTATTAACTTGGGATTAACAACTTTGAATTGTTGTGGGCTGGAAAGATAGACAGCTCAGCAGTTAAGAGCACTGGCTGCTCTTCCAGAGGTTCTAAGTTCAATTCCCGGCAACCACATGTCGTCTGCAAGCACTTACATTGGGATTCTGCAGGTGTACATGCAGATAGAGCACTCATAGACATAAAAATAAATAAATCTTTAGGGAAAAAAAACCTACACAGAGAAACCCTGTCTCAAAAAAACAAAACAAAACAAAAAAAGCAAAACAAACAAAAAAACAAAAACAAAAAAAAAAACAACTTTAAATGGCAAGCCAGGTTGCTACACAGAGTCGGCAACTAGAAAGCAGCAGTGTGGCAGTAAGCTAGCCTCAGAGAAAACTTTAGGCCCTGCAGGCCTCAAAGCCTGGAATTACAGGTCTCAGAAGCAGCAGGTCCTGAAAAGCAGGAAGTAGCAACGGGATACGCTTCTGCCTCTGCCTACAGCCATGGTTGACTCTGGGAGTCTGACTAAACTCTCTGACTTCTGTCTCTGGCAAGACCTGAAGGCTGTCTTCCTGCCTGCTAGGAGTGAGCTCAAGCTATCAAACCTGGAGGGAGAAGCCGGGCGGTGGTGGCGCACCTTTAATCCCAGCACTTGGGAGGCAGAGGCTGGCAGATTTCTGAGTTTGAGGCCAATCTGGTCTACAGAGTGCATTCCAAGACAGCCAGGGCTACACAGAGAAACCCTGTCTTGAAAAACAAACAAACTTGGAGGGAGAAGAGAAGAACACTGAGCCCACCAAGTATGTGCCCAGTTAGATGAGCCTGCTTCCTACCACCACCAATTACTTGTCCATCCGGCCTCTTGACCTCTGCTCTAAATCTGAAGCCCCTTCGATGTCCGTCACTTTTAGAAGCCTCCAACTAAACTGTCACGACGGGCCTGACACAACGTTTTTTGTTCTCTTAGGTACAGGGTTTTGGGAGATGACAAGTCTCCCAGTTGAAAGAAGAAAACAGACAAGTACAACAGGATATTATTGTGGTAAACGGAGGTAGCCAGGAAAGAGATGAACACTTTACTGTAGTTTGGGGCTCAAGGAGACACGGGGCTACAGTTTCTTTTGGGTAAGACACCTTTTTAAGACACTGTAAGTAAATTTCTTTTGGGTAAGAAATCTATTTAAATTATTAATGCCACAAATCAACAGGCAGTCAGCAGCATGGCAGAGAATCCAAGGGCAGTTCAGGCCCAAATGTCAGAGTGGGTATCTCTTCTTAGAGGTTTCAGAGGGAAGAGTGAGTGAGGCTCCATGTCAAGGGTCCATGCTTGTAACTAGGATGTCTCTCCCTCCTGGATGACAGGGGGAGAGGAGAGTCTTACATCCCAAGGATGTAATGTGTGATCTTGAGGGTGTGAAGAGGTTGGGAGGAGGAGCCCGTTAGTGTGTATTTATCATGCAGTGTGTCACTGGTAGCTCCTCATAACTTAGTCTGTTAGCTTGGGGTCTGTACACAGGAGCAGCTGCTGGGGAAGAGAGACATATGAACTTAGCATTTGGTCTAGGTTCTAACAGGAGGGAGTAACTTTTTTTTTTTTCAATGTAATTTGAGACAGAGTCTCACTGAGGCTGTTCTAGAATATATAGCCCAGGATTGCTTCCAATTTACAGAGATCCTTCTTTCTCTCCCTCCTAAAGATGCCACCACGAATGACAAAACTAACTTTAACCTTGTCATGTAAAGCATAAGGGCCTAGAGCAGCTTCTAACATACACCGAGCAAGTCAAAAAGCCCCGAGAGTAAGTAGGGATACTAAGGGGCGATACACAGGCTGTTGGGATTGGGGAAAGAGGCTAGCTCAGATATCAGAACAGAGGGGAGCAAGAAGCGACTGGTGCTAGACAAGGGTTAAGATATAAGAAGCTAATGAGGTAGGGTCTACTAGTGCAACTTAAATGGACTGAACTGCTTCTTAGAAAACGACGAGCCACTGACACCTCCAAAAGTGGTTTCGTGACACGACAGTGATGGCGCAAACCTTTAATCCCGGCACTCGAGAGGCAGACTAATCTCTGAGCTCAGTGGCAGCCTGATCTACAGAGCAAGTTACTGGACCTTCAGGACTACACAGAAAAACCTTGTTTTACCCCTCACCCCTTCTCAAAAAGCTGTTTTTGTCCAGGGTATACAATTAGGAACAAACCTAATTCCTAATCATCCCTAATTTCTACTATAGTAGGTACTAATTTCTCGCCGTCCTATGCTTATAGCCCACTTGAAAATTCGAAAACACAACCATTCTAATAGATCATTGGCTGCGGAAATGGCCTCAGCGCTGCAACCGGAAACAGAAACTGACCACTGCATAAACGCCACCTAACGACCAGCTAAGAGCAAAGACAAACCCTGAAAGTAGCCCAATCGGAAAGGGCTTGGCTTTTCTGACAAAGAATAGAACCAGAGGGAACTGGTTTTCTCAGCCGGTCTGCCTCGGTCGTTCCTCAGGCAAACTTTTGCGCAGGCGCAGAGCTACTACGCACAGAAACACGTAAGCAAAAGCGGGAGCCGGTTCTGCTTCGTTGTACCCTCTGTTTGCGGGGTGAAACTGTTGACTCTTGGTATCTAGACTACATTTCCCAGCAGGCATCTGTTTCACACTGAGCCTGTTTGGATCTCTGTGATAGGGCAAAAACAATAAATTTAAGTGATGACGCGCGAAACAGGAAATAACTTGATTATGGTCTTTGAGCATACTGGCAGAAGAAGCCCCAGTGGCCTAATGGATAAGGCATTGGCCTCCTAAGCCAGGGATTGTGGGTTCGAGTCCCATCTGGGGTGACGCTTCTTTTAACTTGAATACCCTCCAATTAGGAGATGATTATTGCGAGTCAAAGCTACTATTCATTATTTCTATTTATTTTGAAACAAGGTCTCTGTAGCTGTCTGTCTTGGAACAAATTCTGTAGACCACAATGGTCTATGAACTTTGAGATCCCCTGCTTCTGCTGGCAGTCAAGGCGTGTGCCACGACGCCCGGCCATTTTGTTTAAAAACTAAAGAAATTGATGTGAGGCTTTACTAGTTGAGGGGCTGCAGTTTGCCATACCAGGATATGAGTTCATTTTCTTCCCCTAGGCTGCGGGAGGGAATCATAACATTTGGAGGTCGATACGTTGAATTTTGACATCCCTGGTAGAAAGAGTTAAGATCTTTTTGGCGTGGCCTATGTCAAATCCACATACTCTCCTGCCAGACACCTGTCCTCGGAGACTCAGCAGCCATCAGCGTACGGCCGTCCAAAGTGACGCAGTCAGAAGGGCCGAGAGGATCCGGTACCTTCCTTGCTTTTTCTTCTGCTCCCCTAAGGTGTCACTGGACGTTTCACTCGAAGGGCAGTCGGTAGACTGCGCTGTGGGGCGGAGTGCGCGGAGGAGCTTCTCGCCCGAGAAGGTGCGGGCGAAGGCGCCAGAGGCTGTTAGTGACCAGGCTCGCCAAGGACAGGAAAATGGCGGCCTTGGGGTCCCCGGCGCGCACTCTGCGAGGCCTTCTGCGGGAGCTGCGCTACCTGAACTCGGCCACCGGGCGACCATATCGTGACACAGCAGCTTACCGGTACCTGGTTAAGGCTTTCCAAGCACATCGGGTACGGAAGTCGTGTCTGGTGGGCTCCAGATCGCGGGAAGGGAAGATGAGGGGGCGGCCTGGGCAGGGTGATGGTGGGGTCTCAGGGCAAACCTGTCTGAGGCCGCCTGTCCTCCACCTGCGGTTCTCACCACATAATCCAACCCCTCGGCTAACCCGTGATCTCAGATCCCCTACTGGCCTAGAAGCCGCGTGGGGTGCACCTTCCTAGGGACTTCGTATCTGCCACCCACCAGGGTAGAGCTGTCTCTGACGATTTCATTGGTTTGTTTGGTACATGGGGTAAGGGACGGGGCGTTGTGTGAAGTAGGTCCTAGGGGTCTAAGACTTAAAGACACAAGGGCACAAGCATCCTCTCTCCTCACCCGTTCTGCTTTAAAGTTTTAATAGGAAGCAGTGTTTTTGTGAGTTGGTGTGTGTGTGCGCGTGTGCGTGTGCGTGTGTGTGCGCGCGCGCTCTTGCTTGCTTGCGTGTTGGTGGGAAATGAAGATACAGAATTTCAGTATTAATCTGGCCGACCTGGAATTTGCTATTTAGACCAGATTGACCTTGAGCTCACATCTGATTGCCCTTTTCTCCTGAGTGTGGGGATTAAAGGCATGGGCCGGGCAAAAGCAATTTTTTTTTTTGGTTTTTCGAGACAGGGTCTCTCTGTGTAGTCCTGGCTGCCCTGGAACTCACTCTGTAGACCAGGCTGGCCTCGAACTCAGAAATCCACCTGCCTCTGCCTCCCAAGTGCTGGGATTAAAGGAAAAGCAATTTTTAAGGCAATTTAGTCGAGAATATTTAAGAGTTCAAGAGTGGTACTGTTTTATTTATTAATAGCCTTTCACCACTGAGTAAAGCAATATCTTATATTCTATAGAGATTGCACGTGTTTAGCGTGCTGTATGACAGGATACATGTTTTACTGATGTAACAAACATAAACATACAAAATGCTATCCTTGGGAAGTACCATTGTGTAAAATCCATAGTTCATATCCCTCTTAGAAAGGAATGGAAGATGGTTAATTTTCCAAATGTGGTAGTGCTCAATTCCCTGCCTTTTGGACAAGATCAAATACAAGTAGTTAAGGCTCAGGGACAGTTGCCTGCACAGTTCTGCTTGATTAAGCAGAACTACAATTTAGGGGAAGGAAAACTAATCTTCTTGAACAATTATCTTAACTGCTGAATTTGAGCAATGCAAAACCTAAGAGCTAAAATTCACTTAGCTTTTAAAAAGTCATGTTAGAGCCAGGCGGTGGTGGCGCACACCTGTAATCCCAGCACTTGGGAGGCAGAGGCAGGTTGATTTCTGAGTTAGAGGCCATCCTGGTCTACAGAGTGAGTTCCAGGACAGCCCGGGCTACACAGAGAAACCCTGTCTCAAAAAAAAAAAAAAAAAAAAGTCATGTTAGGAACTGTGTAGTAAGAACTAGGGCCAAATATCAAGAATAAGATGTGACAGGTGGCGGTGGCACAAGTCTTTTAATCCTAGCACTTGGGAGGCAGAGGCAGGTGAATCTCTGAGTTTGAGCCCAGCCTGGACTAGGGTTGAATTCCAGGATAGCTAGAGCTCCATAGTGAAACCCTATCTAGAAAATAAACAGTAACAACAGAAGAATTTCCTCAGGAAAACACCATAAATTCATGCTCAAAATTCCAGGGCTGGGCCGGCATGGTGATCCACACCTTTCATCCCTGATGCATAGGCCAGCAGATACCTGAATTCAAGGCCAACCAGAGCCACCCTGTCTCACAAAACTAGCAAAATCCAAACAAACAAAACAAAAAACAACCTCTCAAAACACCAAGACTGATTATGAGAGGCAGCAGAACAGTACTTGACTAGCGTGCCTGAGGCCTTGGGTTCTACCTCCAGTACTGGAGAGAAAAAGAAAATTTGAGATATCTCACTCTACTTGAATGCACATAAGAATGTGGGGGATTTCTTCTGGCTCAGGGCTAAAAATTCTCTGTGCTCATCTTTTCCGTTCCCTAAGGAGGAAAGATGCAACTGGGAACATCTTTTTTTTTTCCCCTACCTTGATCTTTTAATATATTTATCTATCTTGCCCCGGCGGGGGGTGGGGTGGGGTGGGGAGAGATGCATGCCAAACGAGGAGGTCAGAAGACGTAGAAGAGTCAGTTTTCTTTTTCTACTGTGTGGGTTTCAGGGTTGAACACTGGGCATGGGGTCTGGCTGGCAGCAAGTGTCCTTACCCACTGAGCTGTATCAGCAACTGTGTCTTGATCTTTGGAAGCCGCATCAAAGTGCTTTCCAAGCAGACTAGGATACATAGTAAGACTCTCTTCTAAGTCACCCCACATACATACACTACTCTGATCCAGGAGTGACTGTGCTGTCACACACCTGTAAATCTCAGCAGTTGTAAGACCAAAGCAAGACGGCTGAGTCACAGACCAGTCCTTGCTTCACAGCATGACCTTCCTTGTCTTAAAAAGAAGTCTTCATTAGAGCAGTTGAGCACTGCTGTAGTACATTAACTATTGCATGTTCTAGTTTTCAGATTGTAACCTTGGATATTCAGACTGAGAAAAGGAATTATGTATGCAGTGGTGCCCAGGAACTAATCCACACATCCCCAATTATGCTCAAATTTTTGATGTTCCTGTTCCTTTCTCACAACCTTGGAACTCCAAAATAGTTAAGGAGAGAGTACTAAAAATGAAGCATTGTGAAGAACAACCATGATCTGGAGTCACTCAGGGCACTGATATGGACTTTATAACTTCTTAAAGTCATTAGAATCCAGATTTTCTAGATGATTAAATTGTAAAAATGAGTTTAATATCAAAACATACTTATTTCACACACACATACATGTATATATGATACATACATATGTACCTACATATATGATCTTCATTTTGTTACAACTGAGTACAAAGCCATTATTTTTTAGATAAAATACATTTCTGATTTTGGAGTGAAAGGTGTTAGGTCTCAGGAGTCCATATATGCAGAAATGAACTCAAGCTGGGTTATAGGATTCCTGAAGGCTATATGAAAGCCAGTACTCAGCAACAGGTTTTCTTCCCAATAAAGGAGCCATTTCCCTCGCTCCTGCCAGAAGGGACTTGGCTCTCCATTGAACTGTCTCTGTGGATGCACATCAGAGTCCACGCTAGCCTCTGGGCTCTCCCAGTCCCTATTCGCAGGTTCTCCTTATTCATGTCAAAGCCCTATGCTGGCATCATGGCCCCTCTCACCCTCTCCACCCCAACTCCCAGGCCTATTCCGCCTCACTCAATCCCTCCCCCCAGCTACTCATTCTCCTTTAATTCTATTATCTCTTGCTATCTCATGGCCATGTCCAGTCTGCTATTTCTTTTTCTCTCTGTTGTGGACTCTCCCAGACACCTCTGGCTGTTTTCACTCTGTCACAATAAAAACCACTCCGTGGAGTGGTCATTTCAGTGCTTTCTTTAATGCGCCCCTCACATACAAAATGTATATGCATTGTTTAAGCCATAGACCACAAAGCAGCCTTAATTTGTTTAAAGGGAGGAAAAGCATGCATTCTTTATGTGGCAAACAGACCCTGCGGTCAGTTTTCCTAATTCTATAGTGCTTCTATGGGGGTATTAAATACATACACATGCATGTTTGTATTTTCTGTTTACTTTGTAGAGAAAGTTTACTGTCCCTCTGTGGATATGTGAATACAGTAGGTGGTGTTAACAGGCTATCTGACTTTGCTAACTACTTTTTTAGGTCACCAGTGAGAAGTTGTGCCGAGCCCAACATGAACTTCACTTCCAAGCTGCCACCTATCTCTGCCTCTTGCGTAGCATCCGGCAACATGTAGCCCTTCATCAGGAATTTCATGGCAAGGGTGAGCGCTCAGTGGAGGAGTCCGCAGGTTTGGTGGGCCTCCAGTTGCCCCGTCAGCCTGGAGGGAAGGGCTGGGAGCCATGATGCAGAGTCCTCAGAAGTTTCTTCAAGAATGTAACCATTTCTACTGATATGTATTTATCATTAAATGTTTTTTAAAGTATAGTTTCTGGGTTTTGTTTGCTTTTCTGTATTTTTTGTCGACTGAGTCATTAGGGAAGTAAAATTGAAGTGAATTTGCTGAACTTTTTACATCAGGTTCATTGGTGTTCTTATGTGGCAGCGCTCTTACCCATGAAGGTCCATGTGGAGACCAGAGTTTGACAAAGGGATGGCTTTCTCAAGTACTTCTCTGCCTTATTTCTTGAGACAGTGACTCTCACTGACCTTGGAGCTCACTGTTTTGGGTTCAGTGACTAGCAAGTCTCCAGGATCTATGTGTCTTGGCTCCCCAGCTCTAGGGGTTAGACACATGCACTGCCATGACTATGTATATGGGTGCTCAGGATTCAAACTCAGGTCCTTATGTGTGCGCACTTTATCTAGTGAGCCTGCCCCCTACTCCCTGATGTATTTGGTTTAATTTTAAAACTTAGGGCTTTTGTTATTGTTTTGGTCTTGGTAATAAGTGGAGAGATGGGCTAAGTGGTCACAGGTGTGTATTACTCTTACCGAGGATCTGAGGGTGGTTCCCAGCACCCTTGTCAGGTAGCTAACAACCACCTTTTGTAACTCTAGTTACAAGAGATTCAACACCTCTAGTCTGCACAGGTGCCTGCACACACATATAAACACACACATTTTTTTTTTTTTTTTTTTTTTTTTTTTTTTTTTTTTTTTGGTTTTTCGAGACAGGGTTTCTCTGTATAGCCCGGGCTGTCCTGGAACTCACTCTGTAGACCAGGCTGGCCTCGAACTCAGAAATCCGCCTGCCTCTGCCTCCCGAGTGCTGGGATTAAAGGCGTGCGCCACCACCGCCCGGCATAAACACACACATACACACACACACACATAATTAAAAAATAAAGTTTTGTCTTGCTATTTGTTTGTTTTTTTTTTTTTTTTGAGATAGGTTCTTGTTATGTCGTTCTGATTGGCTTGAAACTTGCTATTGTAGAACAGGCAGACCTTGAACTCCCAGAGACCTGCCTTCCTCTGCCTCCATAGCACCACTATGCTGAGCTCAACATAAATATCTTAAAATATAAAAATAAGTACTGCGAGCCTGGTCTCTTATTCCAATGCCATAAGTAGAATACCCATATCCATCCTTTGCCGCTCCTCACATTCCCACTGCTGTTGGTAAGCATTACTAAGTTTACTGTGCATCTTTGAATATATTTCCTATGCCTAGACAAATACATGGATGGGTATCTTTCTAAGATCTTTATTTTCTTATTGTATGGTATGTGTGAGTGCAGGTAGAGAGGTCAGAGGACAGTTTTAGGGAGTCAGTTCTCTCCTTCCACAGTGGGATCCAGGGACTTAGTCTTGATGCTCCAAGTGCTTTGCCAACTTGCTGGTCCAGTGTGTCCATCTTTTATAAAAGTACACAACTATGATGTGTTCGGGTCCTGGCAGGAAACAGAATAAGGTTGAGGAGAGTTAAAGGGATATATGAAGATGTGGGGTGAAAATAATGCCAAACAGTAAGCTAACAACAGTGGGAGAGGAGATAATTTTCTTAGGCCTGATAAGCAATGATTCTTTTTTTTTTTTTTTTTTTGGTTTTTCGAGACAGGGTTTCTCTGTATAGTCCTGGCTGTCCTGGAACTCACTCTGTAGACCAGACTGGCCTCGAACTCAGAAATCCGCCTGCCTCTGCCTCCCAAGTGCTGGGATTAAAGGCATGCACCACCACTGCCCGGCTAAGCAATGATTCTTAAGGACTATGGCCACAGTTGAACCCCAGCCCACAGGATGTCCAGGAAGAGGGGAGTAGACTGAGCACATTAACATCTACCTTTTATGACTGTCAACTTGCTCTTTCTGTTAAACTGCATTTGAAAGCAATGGTTCTACTGCATCCAGCCAAGCCAGTCTAAACTCGGCTGTCTAGTATTGGTCTCCTTGCTCGTCATGTTCAATCTCCCACAATCTGCTTCTGCACGTTCTACTTGCGTTCTATTTCTCAGTCTTCACTGTGTCTGTCCCCAATTCATGCACTGATAATCTTTTTTAATTAAAAAAACTAGTGACAATTCTGACAATTATTTACTCCAACTCTGAAGATATATAATACAGAATTTATTAATTCAGAATTAATTGAAACTTGCTATTGTAGAACAGGCAGACCTTGAACTCACAGAGACCTGCCTTCCTCTGCCTCCAGAGTACTGGAATTAAAGCACCACTATGCTGAGCTCTTTTTGGTTTTTTTCGAGACAGGGTTTCTCTGTGTAGTCCTGGCTGTCCTGGAACTCACTCTGTAGACCAGGCTGGCCTCGAACTCAGAAATCCACCTGCCTCTGCCTCCCAAGTGCTGGGGATTAAAGGTGTTATGCTGAACTCTTAACACAAATATCTTAAAATATAAAAATAAGTAATTGGCTGCATATGAAAGCAATGGTTCTACTGCATTCAGCCAATCCAGTCTAAAACTTGGCTGTCTAGTACCAGGAGAATTAAATCAATACCAGGAGAATTAAAGAGAACAGTAAACAGAACCAGTAAAGGGAACATATAAATTTAATGTTACTGAGTACAAGTTCTTATGGTCTATCAGCCAGATGAAGGTTAAAATGCCTACTTTTAAAAAAAAAAAAAAAGATTTATTTTATGTATATGAGTACACCGTTGTTGTCTTCAGACACCAAAGAGGGCATTGGATCCCATTACAGATGGTTGAAGGTCATGATGTGGTTGCTGGGAATTGAACTCAGAACCTCTGGAAGAGCAGTCAGTGCTCTTAACTGCTGAGCCATGTCTCCAGCCCCCAAGATGCCTTAAGTATCTTAAAATTCAACCTTCCTCCTACATAGAAAGGAATTTTAACATTTAATATTTCTTTCTGGTTCTAATCCCATTGAAACTCAGAGATTAAACTAGTTTAGCATTTCAGGAAAATAAATTTTGTAGAGTGAATAGTTCATAGAAGAAATTCTATTTATACTTATATTTTCCATACTATCAGTTTACATTCACTAAGAAATATTTTACTTGACTTAAAAGTGTAGAAATATATACCACCAAAAGTATAATTTCACCTGAGGAAAAAATAAATGGAACACTTTACAAATTTGCATGCCCTCTTTGTGCAGGGCCATATAATCCTCTCTGTATTGTTCAAGTTTAGTGTATGGAAGTGAGCACCATTGATAATCTTTTGACTTAAGTACCTAAATAAAGTACCCTAAGTGATCCTTTTGCTTCAAATGTCCTTAATTCCATAAATAAAATTATTTTCTGTAAGCACCGACTCTTCATTTGTGCTGTGCTTCTCTTTATTGTATATGTGAGGGCTTCCCCCCAAAAAAACACACAAGAAACTAGACATAATCTTAGACTGTCTCACCGGGCAGTGGTGGCGCATGCCTTTAATCCTAGCACTTGGGAGGCAGAGACAGGCAGATTTCTGAGTTCGAGTCCAGCCTGGTGTAGAGTTCCAGGACAGCCAGGACTATGCAGAGAAACCCTGTTTAAAAAAACAAAACAAAAAACAAAACCCAACCATGTCTCACTTATCTTTGTATCCTTCAAAGTATATATTCATATGCATAAGCATGCTACCCTACATAGCATGTGTTTAGTTGGCACTATGAAATTCATGGCCCAGTTAACTCTAGAATTGTAAACTGGGGAGGCAAAGGCAGGTGGCTCTCTAAGAGTTAGAGGCCAGTCTAGTCCTGCATAGCCAGGGCTGTTACACAGAGAAATCCTGTCTTAAGAAAACCCAAGGGGCTGGAGAGATGGCTCAGTGGTTAAGAGCACTGACTGCACTTCCAGAGATCCTGAGTTCAAATCCCAGCAACCACATGATGGCTCACAATCATCTGTAATGAGATCTGATGCCCTCTTCTGGTGTGTCTGAAGACAGCTACAGTGTATTCATATATAATAAATAAATAAATCTTAAAAAAAGAAAGAAAACCCAAAAAGCAAAATTGTAAACTGAACAACATAACCATTCAAAAAGCCTCTTCTTTGAGACAAGGTTTCATGTAGCCCAGGCTGGGCTCAAAGTTCTATCTTTGCTGGGAGTCTCCTGGCCCAGGGAGGGTAGTGGCAGGGGCACAGAGTAGGACTCTGGTGATGGCTTTAATGTCTGAGGGTCTCAGGACTTTCTAGATCTCTGACCTGTACTGAAATGCTGATGATAACTTCTAAAATGTTCTAAAAATTTCTTGCGCCTTCTGAGGGTAAGAGACTGATGGCTTAGGCAATTAGCACCTGTAGCCTAACAGCAGAGGATTAGGCAAAGTGGCCTTTGTTCTATCTCAGCAGGACCTGCTGGGCTCTAACTTTCACCTGCTAGTCAGAAGTCACAGGAAGAAAAGACACTTAGAGATGTGGTTATAGCGTTTATTACAAAGTTGTTAAAAGTTTCCTATGAAAGCTATCTAAGGAAAAGCAGAAAGATTCTAAGCAGGGAAAGAGAAAAATTCTACTCTATCTGGGGAAAGTGAAAAAATTCTGTCTCTCTATTCTATTTGTCTTTCATCTCTTTGTCCTCAGTATTTATACATCTTTCAGAGTATATGATCACATGTTACAAAGTTCATCACAAGTTCACACCAAAAACCAAATCATAAATTGAAATAGAAGTTTACAACAGAGAATGTTTATATGCATATCAATTAGGAGTAATTAACTGGCTAAACATCCATCACCTGTCTCAGCTCCACAGGTTCACTGAAGGTTTAAAACTATAAGTTATTAGTGAAGTCTTTGTATAGATAAACCCAGTCAATATTTTATCTTCTGCCCTCACACCTACAGTAAATCGTTAGCTCCCTTTTTATAATCTTTGGTTAATTGTTTTACAACCTCTTGGAATGTGTTCTGAGTAGGAGAAAGTCTGGTTACTAAGAGCAATTAATTGATGACACTTGGGAGACTGGCAGAGTTCTCATTGCAATTTTGACTATGAGAAAGGGACCTAATAGTATTCCCACTACAAAAGAGCTTAATAATCATTAATACAATTTTAAGAATTCTTTTTTTTT